GCCCAGCGTTTGCCGACCGCACCCCTACGACGCTCCTCGGACCCTCCCCCCCTCCCCGCAACCCGCTCGGTCTACCCTGGGGACACCTGGCGCCAGGAGGTGAGGGCCACCTTTCCTTCCTCCGCCCCCTCGGGAGGCCATCCATTCCCCTTTGTTTGGAACTGCCTCCGCTGCAGTCCGCAAGGCTGGCCCAGCCTCGGCCCCAAATGAGTGCAGTAAGATGGTCGGGATGAGAAAATCATTTGACTTTCGCCCCCACCCAGAAGTGCAGACCCGTATTTAAAAGTGTCGCAGCTGTAGACTCAGGAAAAGCAATTTCCATTTGCCCCCCCACACACACACACACACTTAGCATGCAAATCATGTAACGTCCACACAAGATGAAACCGCTGTGGTTTTGCTGATTTCCGTCCATGCTAATATCCTTTTTATTTACCTCTTCCCCCATAAAACATTCGGCCTCTTGCCGGGGCAAATTGACTTGGCTCCAAATGGGGGGAATTATTGCTTGGACACGGTTTGGGGCAGCCTCAGCTGCTGTTTTGGATTGCTTCCTAGCTCCCTAACCCCACCCCTCTGCAACAGATCAGTAGCAAAATGGGAAGAGAATGAAATTCTTTGCACCGGTGCGCTGGATGGAGTGGTTTTCAGAAACAATGTCCTGCCCCCTCCATTCCCACATCTACCCTTGAACTGTAAGTCTGAATGAAGGTCCAACAGAAAAAAGGAAATTTGTGTTTCTTACTTGATACTTCTAAAACGCCTTGGAACAGACCAGTATTTAAGGTTTTTAACCGTTTTCTATTGTACATTGCCACTCATCTGTGTGTTGTTTAGTCCTTAGGGTTAGGATGCATCTGGGGACAATAATAATTTAAAAGATGATTTTGACCATATTTCAAGCTTTCCTTTAGTCTGCAGGCTGCAAGTGGTATAGCTGGCAAATAAAGCTATACTAACAGATGAAGATCCTCACATAATGCAGTGAGAGAAGAGAGAATAAATTTTATGTAAGACGGTGGTTTTCAAATTTTTTAGTCTCAAAGCTCTTTTACCTCTCAAAAATTACTCAGGACCTAAGAGCTTTTTATGTGAGTTGTGTATTTACATTTTTACTACCAGTATATTAGAAATGAAAACTGGGAGATTTTTCAAGTATTTATTAGTTTATTTAAAAAAACTAATAGCCCTGACCGGTTTGGCTCAGTGGATAGAGCGTCGGCCTGCGGACTGAAGGGTCCCAGGTTCAATTCCAGTCAAGGGCATGTACCTTGGTTGCGGGCACATCCCCAGTAGGGAATGTGCAGGAGGCAGCTGACCGATGTTTCTCTCTCATCGATGTTTCTAACTCTCTATCCCTCTCCCTTCCTCTCTGTAAAAAAATCAATAAAATATATTTTAAAAAAAACTAATAAACTCATACATGGATAAATAGCATTATTAATAAAAGTAACTATTTTCCAAAACTTGTCCAAAAAAAAACAGTGAGAAGAGTGGCATTGTGGGGTTATTATTTCTTGTGGGGTTTTTTCCCAGCTTTTTAAAATTGTTGAAAATAGGCATAACATAAAATTTACCATTTTAGCCCTGGCCAGTGTGGTTCAGTGGTTGGAGCACCAGCCTGGGGCACATACCTGGGTTGCAGATTCGATCCCTGTGCAGGAGGCATCCAAATGATGTGTGTCTCTCACATAGATGTTTCTCTCTCTCTTTCTCTCTCCCCTCCCTCCCTCCCTTCCACTCACTCTAAAAATCAATGGAAAAAATATCTTTGGGTGAGGATTAACAACAAAATTTTTTTTTTACCATTTTAATCATTTTTTTAATGCACAATTTAGTGGCATTAAGTACATTCACATTTTTTTGTAACCATTACCATCATGTTTTTCCTAAGCTTTTTCAGCATCCCAAACTGAAACTATATCCATCTATACTAATAAAAGGGTAATATGCTAGTTAGACCGGATCGACCGGACATCTTCCGGACGTCCAACTTCCTTCCAGACAAAGCCAGGGTGGTGGGGGCCAAGGCAGAGGCAGTTAGGGGCAATCAGGCCGGTGCAGGGGAGCAGGCAGTCAGGGGGCGATCAGGCCGGCAGGGGAGGGCAGTTGGGGATGACCAGAGCGGCAGGGAAAGGCAGTTGGGGGCAACCAGGCCAGCAGGGGAGCAGTTAGGCAGCGATCAGGCAGGCAGGTAGGCAGAGGTGGTTAGGGGCCATCAGGCAGGCGAGCGGTTAGGAGCCAGCGGTCTCTGATTGTGAGAGGGATGTCCCAGATTAGAAAGGGTGCAGGCTGGGTTGAGGGACACCACCCATGCATGAATTTTGTGCACCAGGCCTCTAGTTAAACAATAACTTCTCATTATCCCCTCTCCCATTTTCCTAGTACTACTATGTTTTTTGTCTATTAATTTGACTATTTTAGGTACCTCTTATAATATTTGTTTACTTGTGACTGACTTAATTCACTTAGCATAATATTTTTAAGGTTCATCCATATTTTAACATGCATCAGAATTTCCTTTTTAACACTGAATGATAGTCCACTTTATAGACAGTCCACATCTTGTTTGTCCATTCATCTGTCCATGGACATTTGGGTTGTTACCCCCTTTTGGCCATTTTGAATAATGCTGCTATGATCATTGGTGTGTGCATATCTGTTTGAGTCTGTTTTCAATCCCTTGGGATCTATACCTAGAAGTAGAATTACTGGATCATATGATAATTCTATGTTTAATATTTTAAGGAGCCACAGTACTGTTTTCCATCACATCTGTATCATTTTATATTCCAATTGACAATGCACAAGGATTCCGATTTCTCCATATCTTCACCAACATTTGTGGTGTGTGTGTGTGTGTGTGTGTGTGTGTGTGTGTGTGTGTGTGTGTTTTGTTGGTTTGTTTTTTATAAGAAACATCCTAAGAGTGGTGTTCTTTTGCACTTTGGCAAAACAAATGTGTGACTTAATAAAGAATAGCTGGATTCTTACATCTGCTTCTGCATTTAATCTGTTGCACTGTTTGTTTTGGCTTAAGAAGATGAAGAAAATCCCATCTTTCACTCATGTAGTTGGAAAAAAAGAATATTTTAACAGCTCTTTTATTTTATTTTTTTAAATATATTTTTTATTGATTTTTTACAGAGAGGAAGGGAGAGGGATAGAGAGTTAGAAACATTGATGAGAGAGAAACACCGATCAGCTGCCTCCTGCACACCCCCTACTGGGGATGTGCCCACAACCAAGGTACATGCCCTTGACCAGAATCGAACCTGGGACCCTTCAGTCTACAGGCCAACACTCTACCCACTGAGCCAAACCAGTTAGGCCTTAACAACTCTTTTAGATAATCATAGATATTTAATACCCATCAAAGTTTGACAAGTGGTGGTTTTTTAAAGGTTAGTTGCAATGTGGAATATGAAAATTTCAATTTTCCATTTCTTCTATTACTCTGTTAACATTAATATATTTTTTATTGATTTTTTACAGAGAGGAAGGGAGAGGGATAGAGAGTTAGAAACATTGATGAGAGAGAAACACCGATCAGCTGCCTCCTGCACACCCCCTACTGGGGGGATGTGCCCAACCAAGGTACATGCCCTTGACCGGAATCGAACCTGGGACCCTTCAGTCTACAGGCCAACACTCTACCCACTGCGCCAAACCAGTTAGGCCTTAACAACTCTTTTAGATAATCATAGATATTTAATACCCATCAAAGTTTGACAAGTGGTGGTTTTTTAAAGGTTAGTTGCAATGTGAAATATGAAAATATCAATGTACCAGTACTTCTCTTACTCTGTTAACATTAAAATCATGGGTCTGTCTTATATTTTGAATGGATCTAATACTCATGCATGATTTTATAATATCAAACATGCTCATTTGGAAAATAGTGGCTCATTGTGTTGAAGAGATCTTCCTAATTTTGACATATTTCTTTGTACAGTATCAATCATATTCCTTTTAATATCATTATCCATGTCATCATAAAAGTCTTAAGTATTAGGAATCTGGCAGGCTCACAGTGGCAGATACAATTTTTCAAAATTTTCATTTGAAAGCTGAAATTTTATCATTGGTAACATACTGTCAGTTGTCCTCTAAGTGACAGGTTTTTTAAATAACACGTTTTCTCAATAACCACAGTTTGTCCGTCAGTCCTTTTTTTCAAGTACAGATAGTGTTTTAAGAAAAAAAGCAGCTATTTTGGCTCACGATTCAATCAATTGCACAAGTGCTTTTGTGGGGTCTTTTGTTTGTTTGTTTGTTTGTTGACTTAAGCTACGAGAATTTATTTTCTCACAGTTCTGGGCACTGAAAGTCTGAGATCAAGATGTCAGCAGGGTTGGTTCCCTGAGGCCTCGCTCCTTGGTTTGCAGATGGCTGTCCTCTCTCTATGTCCTCACAGGATCTTCCCTTGCTTTTGATTTCCAAATCCTCTGGACAGCCATTATGTTCAAGAATGCAGAAGTGCTTTGTTCATGTTTGCCACGCATACATGTTCAGTGGATGAGGTTTAGTAAAATTAATA